GCAGATAGCCCTCGTGTAGCTTTGCGCGAAATTCAAAACAAAACAAACAAATTACCTTTTGTAACTTGGTTAAATAATAATTTACTTATTTGCATCATAGCAGCAATGACCATTGAACTGAAAAAGTGCATAATAGTAATTCAAGCATTAAATTTGTATTATAGCGGGCCTGTAAATGTGGTCTTTAGGCCCACGGGTTCGCTAGTATGTATATGTTTCTGAATTATACATGAAATAAAGATGACGAAAAAGCAGAGAGAAAGGGGATATATATATATATAGGAATGGTGGAAAAGGGTAAACAGAAATACAACAACTGTTTAAAATAAAAATTCAAGCGTCTTTGTTATTAAGCACAAAGCCACAGAATGAACTATCTGAGCTCTCACACCGCGGGTATCGAAACTAGAATTTTACCGTTATATATACTGTGAGACTTACTGTTGAGACACCGGGAGACACTGAATAAAGATGTGGCTTTGGTAAACGAGAATGTAATGAGATCTAAGTTATGTTTTCACGACAAATGAGGAATAAACAAACCGCAACAACCATAAAACTTTTTAACGAGTGCAAAAATAGTGTTAAAGCTGGCAAATCGCGTCTTCTTCTTAATATAATAATATTATACATAATCCTTACTAAGGTGACTTAAGGTTTGAGGAAATGCCCATTTAATGTCTTCCTTGACCGTTCTAAGCGTTTGTTTTGTTTTAGCGCCAAGCTACACATTGGGCTATCTGCACTCTGTCTCCTGCGAGGAACTGGAGCTCTTTATACATTCAGCTGTCGAGAGACGTAAGATCGAACCTAGTAGAATAAGAATTCAGCGAAAGAAATAGCGAGTATCGAACCCAGGTATTAAGACTTCAGCTAAATCAAGCCCAAATGAATATGAATCACCTGAAGTGACGTCGAGTATCGAACCCAGATATGATTTCAGCTACAGAGAGGTCGAGGAGCAAGCTCAGATGGAAATGAGTTCGGCTGCAGAGAATTTAAACACCAAACCCATTCTGTTCCGTTTATTTCTTTGTGATTGTTCTACACTGTTCCATCATTCTGTTCCGTATATTTCTTTGTGATTGTTCTACACTGTTCCATCATTCTGTTCCGTATATTTCTTTGTGATTGTTCTACACTGTTCCATCATTCTATTGCGTTTATTTCTTTGTGATTGTTCTACACTGTTCCATCATTCTGTTCCGTATATTTCTTTGTGATTGTTCTACACTGTTCCATGATTCTGTCCCGTTTATTCCTTTGCGATTGTTCTACACTGTTCCGTGATTCTGTCTCGTTTATTCCTTTGTGATTGTTCTACACTGTTCCATGATTCTGTCCCGTATATTTCTTTGTGATTGTTCTACACTGTTCCGTCATTCTGTTCCGTATATTCCTTTGTGATTGTTCTACACTGTTCCATCATTCTGTTCCGTATATTCCTTTGTGATTGTTCTACACTGTTCCACCATCCTCACTTTCTTCCATAGCACCTTCCACGAGGCCCGACTAGTGGCTAGTATGCTCGGACTTTTAATGCAATAGTTCACGGACCGTTGCGGCACCGTTATGTTGAGGGTTTTGCTTTGTGACCTGTATTTTAGCGTTGTAAGTCTATAAATGTACCTCTGTCTCACCGTGGGGCTAGAGAACTGTAAAAAACAAACAAAAATAAAGTATTAGTTAAGGTGAAAGAAGAACTATATGAAAGTGGCACTAAATAGTTTAAAACAAACTATCTCGTGATGGTTCGGATGATGATTGTAATGGGGATTAGCAGTGTGAAAAAACACACGTGATATTTCGGAGCATAATTTTGATAGGGATGAGTAGTGTGAAAAAAACGTGATAGTTCGGAGCGTGGTTTTTATAGGGATGAGCAGTAGGAAAAAAACACGTGATAGTACGGGGCATGGTTTTGGTAGGGATGAGCAGTGGGAAAAACACACGTGATATTTCGGGGCATGGTTTTGGTAGGGATGAGCAGTAGGAAAAAACACGTGATAGTACGGGGCA